GAAAACAACATAGTCAGAAACTACATCAAGTGGAAGTTAAAGGTTTTGGACGGTAAAAACTAACTGAATCACTCTCACTTTACAAACAAAGATTTACACTTAAACGATACGACCTTTTCATCATTCATCTCAGTGTATGTAAACACCTGTAGACAATAATTCAACCAAGACAATATCTAAATATTAGCAAGAATAAACTGTCTGAATACTAGATAATGTTCAAAATCTCCACATCCAAGTCAATCTTTAAATAGTAGACATTTCGACATAGATTAATCATGCTGATCAGTTAGAATGAAGACAGTCAAACACATTTTGAGATGTTTATCCAACACAACGGTCAACTGGGACTCGAATCCACATTAAGAAAACAAAGTTTTTGAGAACTAACTACTACTTCAAACACTAGTATTGCTATGTGGCAGTTACATGGTAATTTCTAAAGGAAATGTTCATTTTTATTTCAACAATACATTGACATGATTATCATGAACCATATTTCAATGCTTCACAAACAAACCGTTCAACGTAGAAGATTTAACACCACTAAAAAGATATCCACTCATGTCACAAGCTTACTTTATCAGTGAATTTCCTCTTCATTCTATGGGAACAATCAAACTAATAAACACATATTATTCGAAATATATGAGATAATTTAATTCACAATCAAAAACGATAAAATTTACTGATATTTTCGAAATATTTTTGTTTATTGATACATTCAGAGAAACACTTAAAATCAAAATAATCCAACTTGATAAAGATAATCTTGAATATAAAAACAAAACAAAACGCAATAAATATTATTCAGTAGACAAATGCAAGATAATAGTAATTAGAGATTTATAATCACAAAACAGATAAATCACATGCTTGTTTAGTGATTAAAAGTTTGGAATAGTATAATCGTTATCAGATAATGAATTCAATTGTCGGTTGAACTATAAACCAAGGTAAAATGATACCTTGCGAGGAGCAGGAGTCGTAGATACGCACTGCTGAGTCCCATACCAGGACGAAACGGCCGTCCAGTGCTTCCAGGTTTCTAATGGTGGTCTAACAATGATTGATTGATGATTTCAAATGTGTAAAATGATGCCGTTGAAAATTCCTAAACATAATAAAAGGTTAACTGCCATTATTAGTTTTCAATAGCTTACTATTTTAAAAATAATTGATACCACAATGAAATACATGATAATTGAATAGATCTGAAGTGACAAATCAAAAACTAAGATGTAAAATATGCTAATCGTTACCATATATATATATATATATATATATTATATATATATATATATATATATATATATATATATATATATAGTCAGACTAGATACTCTGCAATGCTTTACACGTGCATACTAGGGTGAGTGGATAGGACAATCTTTACAGAAACCATGAAACCACATCACAGGCAAAGCCATAATTCGGAATTCACATGGTAAAAGGAAAGGGTTCAAACTAAATAATGAGTGATACAAGAGATAGAACGCAGATATTAAGATTACAAACGTCATTTGGTAACAAGTCGAAAGGAGAGCCCAGAGTATAATTGGTCTCCGGTCGATAGCCTCTTCTGTAAAAAAGGGTGATAGACTTCAATGAGTAAATAAGTAAATATCTGGGTAAATTAAAGTTATCACTTACAAGTAACGAAAATGTAACTAACTTCTGTTCATCAGATCAACTCCATAGCTTATATTATTTTAAGTACCGATACTCTTGATTAAAAATGGTAATAATCATATCGAGTAATGATCTTCATTATTTTTCTATGACACTTTCTACTTTTATTTCTTACTGAATACGTATATTCATTTTCTTTATTTTTATTCACTTACCCACTCACAACTACCTTGTGTGATAGAAATGAAATTTGTGTTTTTTTTTTCTCCTTAAATATATGAAAATTTTCCAAAAGTAGAAACCGATAAAGAACTTTCTAAAAATCAGTCATGTGTTTAAAAGTAACAGAAGAGGAGAAAAATCGAAAATGAGTGTTTTTCCTATGAGAAAAAAAACGAAGGTGGAAAAGACAGAAAAGGAGGAAGAAGATCAAGATACCTAATGATGATAACAATCAATCTCTTCAGTCAAGCAATACATCTTAAAATGAATCCAAGCAAAATGACAGCAGGCTGACCAATTCGTCTATACGTTTATTTTTCACCCAAGTGGTTAAACAATTTTACTCATTTTTCTTCTTATCTTCCTTCTATCTAACTACCTATCTCTAAATGAAATTAAACTTCAATGAAAAATAAACTGAGAAAATCACTATAAACTCTAGCTAGTAAAATGTATCAAGTTGTGTTTTTTATATGACACCCCCATCGTTGAATTAATCGACTGCTTCGTTGTGGTAACTTTGTATAATTTACAGGTATGCCAATGTTTACTATTTTTCTAACCACATTTCCAGTCAACTTAGATATATATATATATATATATATATATATATATATATATATATTGTATGTTTGCTCCAATACAACAGATGGAATGATTGTAGTAAACAGGCAGATCGAAAAGAAAGGCAATGTTTAAAAAATTAGATTTTTTCTAAACTAATGAAGCAACCGAAATGTATGTATGTATGTAGATCGTATTGAATTGCTTTTCATACTAAAGAGAACATAAAACTGAGATCAAATCTGTATGAAGTTTTATCGGCTGTGAACATGGTGAGTTGTATACGAAAAACATATATCTCTCATCCAACCGGACAGGACATCATACACCATAAGTTTTCCTACATCAACATGCTAAAAAATCCAGTGTTTGTTTGAAGCACACTCATATCCGAATTTCCTTGAAGCAATAAAACATTTTGCCATTCAAACACAGGTTTACACCATTTATTTTATTCTTTCATAATTTATGAGGTTTTCTGTTACAATTATCTTCACCTTAGTACCTTTTACTAGTCGATTATAATATATATGATTTTCGTAAACAATTCATGACAAGATATCACTTCAGGTTTCTATTTCTACTATAGACTACTACTTTGATAAATAAACTTCAACCATAAATAAGATTGTACAGCTTAAGTAAATGAAAACGTCGAAAGGAATAATTTCTTCGCTGAACTGCTCTCATTTTTCCTTCAAAAAGGGTGAGTCGACAGAGATTTCTCCAAAAATCCAATTTATTCTGAAACTGCACTCTGAATAATCTTCATTTTCTTTTATCCAGAAAGAAGTACTATTCTTGGACAACCTACTCGTTGTTCTTTCATCAAGTCATAATTTTGTTTGCTTTTTATGTTATTGATTCGTTTTCAATAAGTTTTCTCATTATTATTATGTGCGCAGTGTTATGTTATGAAGTGATAGCTATTGATCATACAGTGTTAAAGAATAAACGCGTTCCTGTATTCTTAAGCCATAATATAAATTACCGTGTTGATTGTTCAACAGATAAAAATGTTAGTATTTCAGATTGTTAGTAGTAGTAATCTTTAGGAAAAATAAAACCTAACCGTTATTAGAAGACCTTATCGATTCTGAACACAGTCCTATATCAAATTATCTTTCTTTTATACAAATTGTAATAAACAATAAAATGAAATAATGAATAAATAATTGAATAATGAATAGATGAGAACGTCGGAATCGTTCATAGAAAGTAGTGTCTCATCAAAATATAAAAGGACGGCAGACATCACTCGCTATATGAAAACATTCAGTTTAGACAATTTTATTCATTGGAAAACATCTTAACCACTGCCTAGAAAAATAGTTCACGTAGCTTGTTCATACATAACAAGCACGTATCTACAATTAAATTACTGAATGAATCAATATAAATAACTAGAAGCGAATAATCATATGTTTATAAATCGGTGTTAACAAGAAAGTACGAATGCTATCCACAGCATATTACAATTTATTAAAGATTCTTTGACTATTTATTAGGTAAGTGTAGCATACGGTTATGGAGAAACGCATAATGATACTTTGTTGAAATTTAACAATATCTTGACTAACCGAATTGCCGAGTAGTGGATATTTCTTCGAAAGTTCAATTACAAACTTATAAAATGAATAAACAACAAAAGGTGGGACTGTTTGAATAAATCTTAGAGCATCTAAGTAAACTGATGAAACTCAGTAGTTGAAAAGATTTTATTCAATTTAAAGTTTTCATAGCACCATCTTCATTTATGTGCTGTTTAGTTAGTTAGTTAGTAAGATTTGTATAGGTGTTAACTCAGTTTATTCGATTTTCCAAGTTAATTTTCCTTTGATATCCTGATGAAAAGGTTAAGAAAGTAGATCGGATTCAGGGCGAGTCTTTTGTGGCTGATTGAGTAAATAAGTACTATTCCTGATAAATCCGAGTCTAAAAATTGTATCCAATATTTTTTTTAAATGGTTTGCATGGTTACATACCATAGTTACCCTTTGGTTTTTGCATAAATGGGGTAAAGTGTGGATATAAAATTGAAGTAACAACTAATAACGGAGAAAGTAAAATAGATGGGGAATAAAACGGTGAGAAATTAAAGATATCTGTTTCATGCACTATGTAGTAGTCTGAACCTGTTAATTGTTAACATCTTTATTATGTACCAGATTCAAATTTTGATTAATTTATAAATAGCATGCTTCATTCTGTAGACGATTTGAAAGGATTTTCGGGGAACAGTGTAACAAGATAATTAAAAACACAGATACTAATTGGTATACTTCAACTCCAAAAATCCAAGAAGTAGAATGCTCAGAGATGTGTCTGTTTGATGTAAGTTAACCTTATATAGTCCATAAAGCTTATTATGGATCCGTTTGGGAATTAAATAGTCGGAGAAAATATCAGATAACACACTTAACAATCACCTTAAGGCCAAGTCGTTTTCAAAGTCAGAGCTCACTGAATAAGAAGAGGAAGTTAGTCATACTAAATTCCTTTTCAGTTACTATGAGAGTAGTTTTACATAATTTAATAGATCCCCAATTAACCAACGAATATAATGTAAACAATCAAACGGATGCTCAGTAAAAAACATATTTATTATAATCGCGGCTGTACATGGGCTTAAACTAAAGTTATTGATTTGTCATTGATTGATAATTAATCATCATGTCCGTTCAATTCTCTCCACCTACCACGACGTAGGCGACGTTGCATTTCCTGTTTGACCCACCAACTAGGCATCCCCGGAGGAATCGGAACAGCAGCTGGATACTCATAGGTTTTACGGCGAGGTTCTTCCGGATCAAGAGGATTACCTTCATTTGCTAATCGCTCGTGAATTATCTCCTCGTATAATTCTTTTCGATCTCGATAACGATCCAAGTATACATCGAATGACACATCACTGTGCACACCATATCTTTCCCTTATCAGAGGAATACCATGAGGATGACGACGAGGTTTTGTCCATGTATCAGCAACTGGAAATTTCTCTTGAGGTGGCAAACGAGCATCTGGTAATTGAATTTCAAAGACAGGTTCTGGTGCGTCTATTAGTTAAAGGTTTAAAAATTAAGGAAATTAATTTGAGTTACTGAAATCACTTAAGTAGTTTAACTCCTTTGAAAATTAAATAAAAGTAAAATCCAAAATTTTCAGTGACAATAATACATGGGTCGACTTAATTTAGGATGAAAAGCACAGGTATAATATGTTAAGGTATACACTGCGCAAAAGGCTGGAATATAATATTTTATGTCCCAAGTTCTCGACAGCATTTACCAAACCATTACAGACAAAATGTTACATTCCAGATCTGATCAGAGTCAGTTGCAACTTAGAACTTCGTACGTAAGTACATCAGTTCATGTCGCCATACCACATCAGCACAGAGATATAATTGTCAATTCAAATCAAATAGTAGAAGAGGTAGTAAAGGTATTAGAAGTAATCCGAGAGGTCAGGATTAGAAGATATTATTCAAGAAGTATGATTCAATGAGATAAGTTTAGAAAGTAAAAACTAGAGGTATTGAAGAACCCAGAAGATTAGGATTTGAGAGAACACAAAGAATAAATGCACTGGCGCCATTGCGAACGATTTTCAGCCATGTCATTCAAGGTCTCTAGCCATCGATTATTATCATCTCGCGGACCCCAACCAGGTAGTCAACAATTACCGACATGGCTAAGTCCATTCGTCAATGATTTCATGGATTTCTGCCATGTTTTGGATTGGCCGCCCCTAGCTTTCTTCCAACCTATTCTGATCATAAAGAAGGATCTTAAACAACAACACAACCAGTTTCTGTTCTAAAGCATTTATTTAACTGATCCTTGGAAGTCAATATGTAACAAATTAAAAAATGGATATTTATTTTTTATACAATGTTGGTTTAATGCTGGTTTAATCACTCAACTCCAAGAAGATAGACTACATATTGGAGCCACGAGGATATGGTGGGCCAATCAGCAGTGGTGACCATCAGATATCCTATAGGACGGACACATACCAAATGGCATATCAACTATATCAAAAAATGGCTTCACTCTCTAAGGAGGTGGAATATATATACATATATATATATATATATATATATATATATATATATATATATATAGACGCAGTTTAGGGGATTGGCACGTGTCACGATCAGAATTCAGTACTCGTTCATCATAACATACACCGCAAGTACCTATTTTTTGTAGCCAGGTACCATTAATTATTACCCAATAAACATGATTAATAGTTCCGCCTGTGAAAACAAAACAAATTTTCTGATCTACATTTCGAAATTATTAGTCAAATATTTTATCCGTCAACTCCTCCTAGAGCCCTTCTAGGGTTACTGCCGGTCCCAAGCCCAGATAAAGGAGAAGGATAGAAATCCATAGAAATCCAACTTGCTAAAAAAACGCTAACCAGAAAAATTAATTTGCTGGTTGGCGGCCAGTGCTCCTTTAGGGGTAACAGGCGTAAGTAAGTATTTTATGAGTTAAGGTCTGTAATATCCCGTTGTTAATATTCAAGACTGAACCATGATCGATTCTTGTTAGCATATGTGCATCATGACAGGATTGCCTCAATAAAGCCATTTTATAACAAATTTTACAGTAAAATCTAAGGTGTGAGTACTATTCTATCATGGATTTGTCAACTAATCGGTTGAATTTGTCAAGAAATTTATTTAAGCAATAACGAAAGAACAATTCAGCTTACTAAGTTTATGACGAAAATAAGATCGCACACTTTCATCCCATATTGACTGAAAAAATGCTAAACCGGCGGGAGTTATTTCGTCTTGTAAACTTCGATAGAATTCTAGTGTGCTGAAGCCGCGTTCAGATGGCACATCCCTGACAATTAAAACCAAAAATTCGGAAAAACTCATTATAGTTAGCATAGTTGCTTGAAAAATCGACACTGTATCAAGTTATACAACATAAAGTTAAAAATTAGCACCAGAAAGAACGACGAATTAAAATACCGTTAATCCGACCCAAGTAAGCAGATATTTTCTTATTGTGTAATGGTATATGAGTCCCCTAAATAGCACTTCATTGGTTTGGTGATAAGCTCTTATAAACGTGGCATGACAAGACTAAACGTCAAAGTAATTTTATAAGATTTCCAGTGGTGCTTGATTGTACAAATCAGTAGTAATCAGTCGTAAAAAGTGATCCAGATGTTCATGTATCTAACTAGTTTCATGAATGTTGTTTGTGGCATGGAAGAAGAAAAAATTATCACTTACAGAAACTGATAATAACTTGAGTTAATCTCAGTCTCTGGCAATACAACATTACTCTTGCTATGAAAACTAGGATGTACGACAATCAAAGCTTGTGAAGCGTCACCCCTTGACCATATATCCGACGATTTACTGTTTTGATCAGTATTAGGTAAGAATAAGTGTTAGGACACAAACAAGCAGTGAAGTAAATGAAGTCATAAGTAAAATGGACTAATATTGATTAAATTAACGTGAATGTAATATACAACGGATCGAATGAAGGCGAAAAACGTGAAACGATATATTTCCACTCAATGATATCATGTTCGTCTCACAAATTCCCAAGGTTTGTGATTCGGTCCTGTGTTGCCTTAGAGTTGTACACTACTGAGCGGTTGAAAACCAGTGTCTCCATCGTGCTCAATGGTCAGTCAGTTAGTTAAAACGCAGAACTTCGTACGTACATACATCAGTTCAGATTGCCATACCATAGAGACGCGATTGTCAATTCAAATTCCATAGTAGTAGAGGAAGTAGTATTGGAAGTTATCTGAGAGATTAGGGTTTGAGAATATTATTCAAGTAGTAGAATCTAGTGAAATAAACTTACAAAGAAAAAGAGAAGGGTGATGAGGAATTCAGAAGGTTAGAATTTGACAGTGGTATGTCACAAATTATATTGGTTACAATTTGTATTGAAAACTATCCATAAATCAAAAAGTTAGACTTGTCGGTAAACACAAATGTCAGTCTGGGGCATAGCTTTAACAAAACAAGTTATTCGTTACTTTCACCTTGCGTTAGAAATCCACAGAGGAGAGTATTTCAGTGATCCGAAACTGTTTTGACGTCTTATTTCATCGCATTATCTATTCTGTAAACTGATCTGTTTATTGGATTAGTTTTTTTCAATAAATCAGAGGGCCAAATACTTAGTTCCTGCTTGTTCACCAGGTTTTGTGATGAAGCTGGTTTATTAAACAGCTTAGTTTGATTGCCTAACCTAGTATTTTTTTAGAAACCTGAGCCTATTTCTTCTAGTTCTTACAACGGTTATAGATTGTTATTAACAACTTGCTCGTCATACAGAAAATACTTCATCATTCTTTATCTCTCCTAACTTCAATGATCTCATGACAATTTCAATTTCTGCTAGTTAACCATAAAACGATTTTTGTTTTCTACTGTTTTAAAAAAATAAACACAGCATACTTGATTCTGATGAATATCGATTATGCAGTTAGACGCATGTTGACACAAAGATAACAATTCAAATAACGAAGAAAGATCACTACAACAACAAAGGAGTCATATTCTGAACGTACCATTCACTGGGATTCCCCTTTCTCCACTGATTTAAATCAATTTTTCCACGATCTTGTCGGTAAAGGACAAATACATAACGATGATAACCAGTCCCTTGGTATGGTAAAGGAGGCATATACGGAATAATCTCATCACCAGCATCAGTGCTTCCTGGCATCGACTGTAGGTTTGTACTGCGTATTGGAAATACACAAAAACTGACATAAGGCTTCACATATTATGCGTAATTGTGTATAACAAGTAATTTTCACAATTAAATGGAAAATAAACTTTGTAAATAAGAAGAAATATTTTATGGCTGTTTCATTGAAAAATACAGTTAGTGGTTGTCCGGATCTTAACTGATAATGGTACCATACATAATACAAGTGTGTATGATATCAGATATTTAAGCTAATTTTTCTAAGCTTAGAAACGAAACCATTGAATATTTCGCTGCATACATACACTTAGAAGACGATGAACGCCTAGAGATAGATTTTAACCCACACAACCAATTATAGGTGAAGAACAATATTTAGTCTCTTCTGAAGACTGCTAACTAGGAACAGTAAAACTCATTTGGTTCTCCTGTATTGATATTACCACTTCTTAACTAGATACATATTCCAGTACTATTACAAGTACCAAGTCTTCGAGAATAGTATTTAAAGACAAAGATTCAATAGCTGTCAATAATATCCAGGAGAAGAATCAGGGACGCAAGAGTAACGCAAAAATTCTTCTGAACCAAAAGATACTCGAGAAATCATCTTCTGAAACTTCAGGAATAAAAGCGATACCAGCTCAAATGTAGACCGACGAAGTTTTTCAAATGATGGGAATGTTATGAATAGGATCAATATATACATGTCTCAAGTTCCACAATGCTTTTCTGCGTGTGTATAGTTGAAGAATCCGATATCAAAGGTCGAAGGCATCACACTCAGATGATACATTATGAGTAAAGCAATACTCTTAATATGCTACAATCTTCAAAATTACCTGATTACTTTATCGAAGAAAACATAAATACATCATTGCGCTGTTCATACTTAGTGGTCATAAGCTTAACTCAATCTAAGACTATGTATGAATTAAGAAAAAACTGTAGACAATGAAAAAGACGCTAATGTAAGCATTATCAAACAGCTTTCTGGCTTTGATTCGCTAGCAACGACTAATCGAGTACACCTATATCCTCACCGACAACTACTACACGACATCAGCACAAAAAGATTTCCTTAACGATTAAATTTTCATAAGCGGAGTAACTTACATCATCCAGTGAATATATTCATTAGGTGATTTGCAGCTTTCACTGCCTATTGGTTCGTCCGGACATGTCATCAACAGAGTCCAGTAGAAATTATTTGGTGCTGTAGACAAGTCAATATATGGGGAATTCTACAAAATATTTTTAAAAAAGTGGTAAAATTTGGATATTTTTGCCATTCATATTTATCACGAGAAAAGGCCTGAGAGTAAATGCTAATTCACCATCCTTGATATAAAAGGGAAAAAATTAAATGAATAAGGCCAGCCCATTCAAATACACTGAAATGAAGTATCCCAGTTTGATTTCGGTTACGGATGGATGGGTCCGACCTTTAAGTAAATCACTAATATTAATATTTTTAAATAAACATGTGGTTAGCCTCTATTACAGATTACTTGAAATTAACCCAATTTAACTTAGACAACTAGATAACAAAGATTCATGAAACCAGGTTTTAGCCACCATCAAAATAGGCATGTAGACAAAAAGGAATCGAACCATGACCTGACTCCTGGGAATCAGTTGCTTAAGTTGTTAAGACACCAACAAAACATAGTATACATATTTGTATGTTAACGGTAAAAGTAATTTTACTTAATCTAATATTGAACACCACCAAAAAGAAAATCTTCTTCGCTAAACTGCCTTGAATTATCATAACAATATTTGTAAACTCGTATTTGTCACTAAAATAACTTATTTACCTAGTACGTGTTTTATGTATCTGCCTTTGATTTATAATTCATGCAAAGGCTTGAAACTGAACACCCATCATTCACATAGACCATTCTTTAAAGATAGGTTAAACTTGAAAAACAAAACTCTAGAGAAAACTAAAAAAACATGCTGATTCCTGACTTGGATCCAGATGTATTGATAATACATATACATGCTTATTGTTACCCAACTATGTTTGCGTTTCTTTTTTACCTAAAACTAGCATTTAAACATACTAACCAAGAAGTTTCTATGGTAATGTTTGTCACCGAAAGATGTGTCGAGGAAATACATACATTTTCTAGATGTTCACAGTTATAATGTGACTGATCGAATTAGAGCTTATGTAGAATTGTCAGCTACAAGTAGTGTTCATCAGGGTTGTACACTAAAATCACTTTTATTTAATCCTGTTATATACGAACGAAGACTAAAGTATTGATAACTAAAAGAAGCAACTTACGGATTATTAGCATATAAAGTTTCATTATATAACTATTAGGCAACTAGATTATCAGGTTTATGTTTCGTTTATCACAAGTTTTCTATTAACCCATAAACTATTATCGTACAATTTACCGTTCTTAATTCGTTGCCAGTTTACCATTTAGTCCCCCCTGCTCAAGGCCACTTCTGCCTCATTCCTGTATGATTGTTATTTTCATTTGATGAAGTGATGCAGTCTAGTTTTGTTTGTATATAAATGAATAACCGACCTAGTGATGGACCCAACTAGACCACATAGCTATCAGCCATTGGTGGAGAAGCCCCTTTGGAGACTGCTGCTCATTCTGGAGCATTCAGATCATGTTCTAGTTCGAGAGCGTATTTGTTTGCGACTTACTGGACGTAGGAGATACCAAAAGGAAACCTCTTAGGGTTTTAATTAATGATAGCATAGCAAAGAACATATTTAAGGAACAATTAAAAAAGCAGTTAGGCGGTCTTGTAAGCGATTCCCACCCCAAGGCAGCTTGGAATGATATCAAAAAGCTGTGGAAACAGTAGTGATATCTTCTGGTAATGTGAACCATAAGGTTAGGGAGAAGCAGTGGATTTCAGTAGCATCTACCGAACTGATAAATGCCCGGAAATTCATTCCGTCTGGCTCTGAACATGACGAAGAGTGGAGTCAGCTTAAGCGAGGGCTGATAAGAAGCCTACGCAATGATCGAGAACAATGGTGGATGGGGAAATTAAGAGAGATAAAAAGTGCAGCGGCAATAGGTAACAGTAGACAAGCGTTCAAACTTATCAAGTAAACTGGTTAGGGTCCTTGTTGTATATCTATTGTTCAACAGTCGTCGCTGCTAATTGGTTGATTTCAGTACATAACATGTCCCTCTGCTAATCGTCCTACACTCAACTGCTGATGGATTAACTTCTCTCATTAAAACTTATTCCTAAACATCTCTTTGATGAGGATGACAACATAATACAGTTTCAAGAACCTTGATAATGTAATATGGCCATTCCGACATGATAAAATGCGTTTCTCACCCTCTGGATATTCCCATAAAGTGACTACACCGAGTGAAGCAGTTGGGTGTGTCTACTACTTTACTTATCTTAGGAGCCTCTCAAACCTGGTAAGTCGGCTGATAAAAGGATGGCTTGGAAGTTTTCATCAATTTGTATCAGCCGAGGCACGAGCCAGTTATCTACTTCCTAACGAAGGGAAAAGTATATTCCTCAGCATTTCACCATTTCGGTTCGTGGTTGTGAAATACGGAGTTCGTATACGTCCAATCACTCCATAATCCAACGTGGAACCCGGACTGGCACAGAAGTAGGACAAGAAAGTGTTAGTGGCGACCTAACGAAAACGAGACATCAGTCCTTGAAGTTATCGGCTTTCGGACTGAACATTTTTTAGTAGATTACCGCTACCTGATTGTAGTCCACGCAAAGATCGTGATCAGTGACTGAAGATGAGTGATTCGGCTTAGAATTGGTTTCAATGGCGAACGTCACAACCAAGTGATGATAAAACTCGCTTTGTCTGTAGGTAACAACATATTAATATTAGAATACTCCAATTCGTGAGGTCTGTTGGAAAAGTTATTATTTCATATTAGTATTAATCTTCAGAATATTATCAATGATCATTGTGAGTAACAAATAAGAATGAGCAACTACAACCGGTTGGAGTATGGAAATGAACTCCTAACCCTCTGGATAGTAAAACGTCAAACAACACGTGAAATTATCAAGCACCAGATTGAATGTAAATAGAGTAAAATGGTTTAAGTTTTAGCTAACTAACCATAGCTATATTGGCAGATATTAGATTCCCACAAAACACAGGCTGTACATGCGTAGTTGACTGATCATCTTTACATTTACTCTTGTCTGAAATATTAGGCTCACCATCTTCTGGTTTAAAATATTCGATACCGAAATTCACAACAGGAAAAAAGATATGAGGCGGTCCAAAAAGTGAGTTGAAGATACCGTAATGCTGAGCGATATTTAGTCGACGAACTGGGGCCTGGTGATCTTCAGACGGTGAGTGAATTACGTCAAGCGGGACTTGTAGTGTTCTTTTACGAGCTTGATGCTCTAGATCCAGTCTCTTTGAAAATACTGCTGATTCTTTAGGGCAAACATACGGTAATCCAATGTCAACGGGTCCCAACGATGAAAGATCTGTAGGTCTCACAGCTAATTCTAAATATTATTAGAAAAGAAAAAGGTATCAGTAAGCACTGTCCGGCGAGAAATTAGTAACTTTACGGAGATTCTTAATTTAAGTCTTAAGGCACGTTTATTTTATGTAAGCTAAAGATAATAAATATCCAAGTAAAATAAACAAAATGGACAGACTTGGACCAGATGAGTCAGTAGTTACCAACGGGATCAAGAGGTCACGAAGCGACAGTCAAGAATCTCTATCGTGTAACCACTTAGCCTTACTAAATCTTGCTTTTCTCTTGTTACCTACTAGTTAAATTACGAGATATCCACAATTAAAGATAAAATCTAGGATTTCACTGCTAATATCTAACAAACAACCTCAAACAAACAACACCTTCATCTTTCTATTTTAGTATTTTTGCACTTTTTAGATTTCTCATTTTGCAATTATATAGGATGAAAGTTTGAAAATGATTTGGCCTCAACTCTTGGTTACAAACGAAGTCTAACTAAACGTAAGAACTGAAATTATGGAATAATACAGATCAAGATTGAGGGGAAGATACATGATGGTATTCCAAAGTAACTCTACGCCAGCTAGGATTGCGCGCTGCTGTAACTGAGCACAAGAAACATATCTCTCAAACATCTAAGTAGATGAAGATGCACAGCCTTATCAATCGACTTGCTTTTTTATCGAATAACCTAAACCTAACTTTCGGTTTCATTTAGTGGCTAAAACCCAAAGTGTTTATGGTCGAATACCTACAGCTTACATTTATCGCCATTATCTAGCTGAAAAGAGTTGACAGAAAACTCACTTATCTCCGGAGTCTCATCAGTGCTGATGGCCTGGTGACTGACGAAATCTCAGCACGGATACAGTAGGCTCGATTAGTTTTTTCCAACCTGTGTCACTTATGGCGTAGGCGAGATATCCGTTCGCTAACTAAAGGACGAGTCCATTGCGCATCAGTTCGCTCCGTCCTACTCTACGGATGCGAAAAATGGCCGGTAGGAGTAGAAGACATCCGCAAGTTACTAGTACTCGATTACAGATGTCTTCGAAGCACTGCTCGTGTATCTTGAGACAACCGAATAAGCGATGTTGTCGTTCGGAAACGAGTACTAGGTAGGAATGGCAGATCAATAGATGAAGTAGTGAAACTTCATCAGTTAAGGTGGTTGGGACATGTGTTACGTACGCCTGATCGCCGACTGCCTCGTCGAGATATGTTTTGCAATGTAGGAGTAGGTCGATCCATGAAGTTACCGACAAATGAACCGAATCATGTTGGTAGATGTAGACTACTTGGTTGGGGTCCGCGAGACGATAGTAGCCGATGGTTAGAGATCTTGAAAAACAGGTCTAAATCGTTTGCAATGGCGCAGGGGCATTTATTTTCTGGCTTATCTCAAATTCTAATCTTCCGAATTCCTCATCACCTCTATCTTTACCTTTCCAAATTTATTTCACTGAATCATACTTCTTGAATAATATCTTCGGACCCTAGTCCTCTCCATTACCACTAATACTTCAAATACCTCTACTACTTTGGGATTTGAACTGACAATCGCGTCTGTGCTAATGTGGTATGACAACCTAAACTTACGTACGTACCTACGAAGTTCTATGTTGTAATTGACTGAATGAATGACAGAAACTTTTGCTTCTAAAGTGCTCGAGTTCCAACTACCATTCAGCGTGTGTTTGAACACTAACAGTAGAAAAAGAAGTGCTATAAGACCTCGTCAAGGAAAAGTTTTACATTTGTTGTAAAATACTCACAGCCAGTCTTCTATTCTCAGACGCATCATTTGGTAGCCATTTAACTAGTTTGTGCCACCTATAATTCAGAGACTACAGTTAGTCACGACTTTGTCATATAAAAATTTGTCGTAACTAACAGTAAGGTGAACGTTATTCAAAGTGTATAATTAGCTTGATGTCTAATGGTCATCAGACATCATAGCATGAAAATGTCATACTACGTGTTATTTCACTAAGTAGAAACAATCTCTGTAATTCTGGTCCTCTTATCTTTTAATATCAGTTCATCTTGAGGCTTGTGTAAGTAATCCGGTTTTTGTGAGCAATCGCCGTTCCGTCACTAAACACCAATTTAATCGATCACACAGCAACAATTTAAACCAGGACATACTGACCAATGCGGAACGTTTCTTTACTGCAGCAAATCCCTCAGGAGTTGATTAATTAATATAAGTTTTTAGAAAGGCTTCAGTGAATATAGTTGATTGTTGGAGGTTTTAGGAAAAATCATTTCCCCGACCCACAAAGAACATGGGTTTTCACTGATTTGAGAAGCCCAAATTGATTGAATGTCTTGGGGTTCGTTATTGAAACACGAAACGTTAGATGCAATCTCGGTGAAGAAAACTGATTCCGACTGGTTATATGGTAACTTAAAAATCTACAAGGATATAATAGCTATAAAGGCACATTATAATCTTTGACTTTTGTTGGTAATTAATCGAACAACATGTAACTATAGGGATAATTGGTGGAACCAAGTCGTACTATATTGCGCTTTGCCATTCTATAGTTATCTTCTAACTCAAACAAAATGATACCAGAAATAGATGAACTCTGAATAGATTAACACAAATGGATGTGTTACGTAGCTTGAATACCTCACCTTGAATTCTTTCTTCATACGTTTTTTGACCACACTCTGGTACTTGACGTTTCGGAAATGGATACGCACCGGGCTCAAGTATCGGTGGTATATAACTCTTCCTGTACAAGTGATACCGAACAGGTATAAATAAAGTGCTTCTTGAACACGTAATCAAACTAAATGATAGCATCACATGCAGGATTAGTATTCCGCAGCAGTAAGCATAGGAATTCAGAGATTATTTGAATATATTTTAACAATTGGAACTAAACGAGGCTGTAAGCTCCTAAAAATATCAGAATATGAAGAGGGATAAATAGAACGTGGAAACTTTCCGAAGTCAACAATTACGAATCAAAAAGCAAGAGAAGAGAAATATATAAAGAACTCTTTAGTAGGTGAGATAACTCAAGGCCAGCACACGGGAATGATCATTTGTGCTGTTGACACTTAGTGGCAACTTCGGAACAACAATTTATAGGCTGTGATTATACATATAAATATATATATATATATATATATATATATATATGGAACAATAACTAAGTGGCGAATGCTAGTGACTGCTTTTCTGTTAATCCACAAAAGCTATTGAACACAAAAAGCAGTCTTTTTACTCATTCGTACCATTCCTTGACAGAGAGGCCTGTTAAAATCCAGAGATTGACATACACTAACCTAATGTATCCGTCCATCAATACAAAATAAAGTTGAGCTAATCAAGACTACGAAAGCAGAGTGAAAGTCGAGGGATATATCAAAATAGGATGCACACTATTTACTATATGACGTCTTTATCGGTAGAACATTACTGAGTAGTGTTTTATAGAAAATCTCACCTGAGAATTCGGGAATGAAATAGTTTTGAACGAGTCGAAAGAAATTAGGAATGTCTTACATAGTACGACTTGAGAATTGAGACCTGTCCACTCTGCTTTACCGCCAATTAAGAAATCTAATTTGAATGTATTATGCTGATGAAGATTCCTTAACCTGAAGTGACCTTTTAATTCTTTAGACAAGAACAAACAACTCGAAGAATGCAACACGCAGGTTCAAACGCCAAAACAAAAAAATTACTAATGCTAAACAGGTTTTTTTTTAACCCAGTAGCTAATCCTTGAAACCTGCCACCGAATAAAACGATTCAAACAATTAATTGGCCTATGTAGAGATTCAGATACTTACACATAGTTAACGTTAAAAGTCTAACGTCGGTCATCATCCTTTCGTCTACAATAAATAAACCTGACAATGCAGAGAGGGCTGTCATGGTCGGGTTTAAGAAAATGGTTGAGACGATGGTTTAGAACTATGGTTAGGTCAAGGACTATGAAAGAGGAAGGATTTACAGCTTATGGAACGGTATTTATTAACTGATTCTAATTCCCAACACTAAACATAAACCCCAACTTCAACAATAAACCATAGCAGAAGTGAACCTTGAACTGTACCGAAAGATGAGGAATCGAGCGCAAAGAAGTCCAATATTCAATATCTTTTTCACAAGCTAGTATAAACCGATTGATTTCTTTGTGCTCGATTCTTGTTCTTTCGGTACGGTTCCAGGTGTTCACTAGTGTCCGATGAATACAAGTCTAGCCACTCGACCGTCTAATTCTAGTCAGTTAGCAGTTGGTTGTTAGTTTGCATGTCTCTGAATTAGAATGAAAAACGTTTGTTTCAAGGCAGTTGGGTTTCTGCATACCAGCAGCTATCACATTACCAGACCGGAGATCAGTTATTTGCAATGTGGAGAATCATTTTTACTTACTTACTTACGCCTGTTACCCCCAATGTAGCATAGGCCGCCCACCAGTTTCCTCCAACCAACTCTGTCCTGGGCTTCTCTCTCCAGTTCTGTCCAATGTTTGTTCATTCCTCTCATATCTTTCTCTATTTCTCGGCGTAATGTATTCTTTGGCCTTCCTCTTTTCCTTTTGCCTTGAGGGTTCCATGTGAGGGCTTGTCTTGTGACGCAGTTAGGTGATTTTCGTAGTGTGTGTCCTATCCACTTCCACCGCTTCTTCCTGATTTCCTCCTCCACTCGAATCTTGTTTGTTCTCTCTCACAGTTCGTTGTTGCTGATGGTGTCTGGCCAACGAATCCGAAGTATTTTGCGTAGACAGCTGTTAATAAATACTTGTATCTTCTGGATGATGCCTTTCGTAGTTCTCCAATTTTCCGCTCCATACAGTAGAACTGTCTTGACATTTGTATTGAAAATCCTGATTTTGGTTTTGGTTGAAAGTTGTTTGGAGTTGCAGATATTTTTCAACTGTAAAAATGCAGCCCTTGCTTTGCCAATCCGCGCCCTCACATCTGCATCCGATCCACCTTGATTGTCGATGATGCTGCCCAGATATGTAGAGCTGTTAACGTTCTCCAAGGCATCTCCATGAAGAGTGATTTGGTTGGTGCATGTTGTGTTGCATCGGAGAATTTTGCTTTTTCCTTTATTTATGTTGAGACCTACTGCTGCAGAGGCTGCTGCTACACGGGTTGTCTTCTCTTGCATTTGTTGTTGAGTGTGCGATAGAAGAGCCAAGTCATCTGCGAAGTCCAGAACGTCCAGCTGCGTCCTAACTGTCCAGTTGATACCGTGCTTCCCTCCAGATGTTGACGTTTTCATAATCCAGTCGATGACCAGGAGAAAGAGAAAGGCTGAGAGTAAGCAACGTTGCCTGACACCAATTTTCACCTCAAAAGAGTCTGTTAGCTGTCCTTTGTGTACGATTTTGCTGTTGAATCCATCATAAGAATTCCGTATGATGTTAACTATTTTCTCAGGCACACCGTAGTGTCGAAGAAGCCTCCACAGTGTTTTCCTATCCACTCTATCGAATGCTTTATCGTAGTCGATGAAGTTGATGTAGAGTGGTGAGTTCCATTCAATTGATTGTTCCACAATGATCCGTAATGTAGCAATTCGGTCAGTACACGATCGATCCTTACGAAATATTTTCACAGTCGCTTCTACATCTGCTTTGATTGCCTCTGGTGGAATGTTGTCTGGTCCTGCTGCTTTGCCGCTCTTGATTTGTCTGATGGCCATACTGATCTCAATTGTGGGTGTGTAGTGCCTCCACATATATTCCAGTTCTCTTACATCTAACTCTGTTAAGCCCTCTCGAATAATTTATTGAACCAAACCATTTGTATAGCAACAACTCAAATGTACCATTGGTATTTTTTATTATCTGGTTTGTATGAGCTTATACGACTGAGCATTGCTTACGCCTACGCGCTTACTCATCCTTTTAGCTTTAATGTTCATCTCTTAATTTCCCCATGAACTCAAATGATTTGTATCGCTTGCTTATGACCTGGTCAATCATTCGTCGCTTTTATTCATGTCTGTGCATACCTATTTCGCTTGTCATATGTCTGCCTTATTTATGCCTGAGTATATATTCTTGGTCATGTTCTATCTCTTTGAGTTGGCTCTTAGCCTTCTCCAATTTGCTTCGCCCATTCGTCATATTCACTGCTTCTCCACTTCGCTTTGTAGTGTGTCCCGAATAAACGTATTCATCAATACGAGTTCATCTTCTGATTTATAAACCGTTAGATGCTACTTAGTGACGATCGTCTAGGCGAGTTAATTACCGAGATTAAGAACACGTAGTAATTCGACACACTACAGGTGCGCCAGTATTAATCGGGAGGTCCGTGGATGCTGTTTCGATGTTGGGTGTGTTCAGTGGAGCTGATCGATTCAATAGTTCTTCAAAGTGCTCTACCCACCTGTTTCGCTGTTCTTCAGTGTTGCTGATTACTTTGCTTTCCTTGCTTTTCACTAGTCGTTCTGGTTTACGATAGTTTCCGGCGAGCTTCTTCGTTGTTTCGTACAATTGTCTCAAGTTTCTGTCTCTTAAAGCCTTTTCTGCCGTCACTGCTAGATCTTCCACATATTTTCGTTTGTCAGCTCTGATGCTCTTCTTCACTTGCCTGTTTGCTTCTGTGTATGCAGCTTGTGCGGTAACTTTCTCTGCTCTTGTTCTGCTGACATTCACTGCTGCCTTCTTGTTCCTCTTTTCTTCAATTTTTTCAAGAGTGCCAACAGAGATCCATTCCTTGTGATGGTACCTCTTGTGACCCAGAACCTCGTGACATGTTGAAGTGATTGCCTCCTTAATCCCTTTCCAATTGTTCTCCAATGTTGCGTCCTCTCAATTGAGTAGATGCTGAAAGGCCTGGAACCTATTGGTGAGAGCTATCTTGAATTCGTTGAGTTTTACGGTATCCCGAAGAAAGGCTGTATTAAACTTCTGTGATGTTTTCTGTCCCGTTGCCCAGTGCTTCTTGAGTTTCAGTCTCATTTTGGCGATCAGCAAATGGTGATCTGAGGCTATATCAACTCCTTTCTTGGTTCTCACATCCTCCATAGTCCTTCTGAATGTTTTGTTGATACAGATATGATCAATCTGGTTTTGAGTAGTGTGATCCGGTGAAATCCATGTGACTTGGTGTATGAGTTTGTGAGGGAATATTGTGCCACCGATGACCGGTTTGTTGAAGGCACATAGGTTTGCAAATCTCTCACCGTTTTCGTTCCTTTCTCCCAGTCCATGTCGTCCCATGATGTCTTCATATCCAATGTTGTCCATGCCAACCTTGGCATTCAGGTCTCCCATCAGAATCGTCAAATCCTTTGATGAGCATCTGTCGACGATTGACTGTAGCCTTTCGTAGAACTGATCTTTAACGTCATCATTCTAGTTATTGGTAGGTGTATAGTATTGGATGACGTTCATTGTAATGTCCTCTTTCTTTGTTTTGAAGGATGCTTTAATGATCCTGGGTCCATGAGATTCCCATCCTATCAGTGCCTTTTGTGCATGTTTGGACAGTATCAGTGCAACTCCTTGTGTATGTGAAGCATTTTCCTGTTCATGACCAGAGTATAACAGCAGTTCCCTTGAAGCCAGTCTCAGTTGTCCTACCTGTGTCCAATGCGTTTCACTGATGCCGAGCACCTCGAGGTTGTATCTTTTTATTTCTGCCGCAACTTGAAATAGTCTTTCAGTATCCCACAATGTACGAACGTTCCATGTACCTTACCACCCATACATGTATCATGAAATGATAGACGAATCCCCTTGCTCCTACTAACAGTAATACGTTACGCCTTTCAAGTGTTACCCGTGACTTTTCTCTGAATTTAAATTCCGATTATTATTTTCATATCTTCAAAGCAGTTTTAGTTTTTATTTCTAGTAGACAGACATATCGAAAAGCCTGTAGATGCTGACCAACTACTGTCAATTACAAGGAACTCAAACACCGTGTATCATTGTGAGTATCTTCTTATTTAAGTACTAACAGTTTAACTAATTTTTATTTCCCCAATTCATTAACATGCAAACACCTTGCCTGCTTACCAACTTATCGCTTTACTCATTAATTTTTAACATTATTTCAACTCTTTTTTTTCACTTTTTCCTCGTTCCAGCTCCCTGTGCTTCCTATTTCCAAACTACCCATTAACTGACTCATCTTACAAATTATACCATTCGTTTACTTAAAATCAGTGTGATATGCTATGCGGATATATTGTCTGGTAAAATTGTCTGGATTGCTTGTAATGTTGGAACTAGTAGATAATGTTAATTCCAATAAGGTGTACAAAAAGAATTGAGAGTAGACTAGAGACCAATATTTACAATTAACCATTAAACGTAAGAGAGCCTAACATCACAAAAGGAGGGAGGGTGGTGTATCTGACCAGCATTCATGACGGTGGGGCGATAACCTCAATCTACCCATGTCTGTGTGGCAGAACATTTTGTTTGCCTACAGCTCCTTACGATATAGCAGGATGTAACAAATCAGTGATATTGATGTTACTTTTCCTAGTTAACCTCGTCTACAACCCATGTCTGTAACCTTGCACTGGTTTTTACTTCCTACCGAGAAATCCTATTACAAGCTGATCTGGACAACTATACTAGGAAAGAGCTCATTCATAACTTCTTGAGCCTCAGAGTTAAAAATAAAAAGAATAAATAAAACAAAAAATTATATCACTGAGCCTCTTTATTATATTTTGTAAATCAACATTATTACTAACAACTTGGTTCTTCTGAATTTCCTCGATTCTTTCGACTAACATCTCATTAGTCATCTCACTACTGAATTGTCTTCATTAACCTACATAAGCGCAGGTGTAAAGTGTTCTGATATTAAAAATGTTTGGGTAAACATATCTTTGTTTTATCCATAAACGTATGTGCAAAGCCATTGTTCGGCTTTGAACATGAATATTTTCTGTTCTGCTCCTCGTCCCGTTTTCTTTATTCCTCTTTTTTCAGAACCTTATTCCAATCCACATATATTAGTCTGGATATTTGCAGTAGACTTGGTTACCCTACCCAAGAACATGTGAAATCATTAGCTGACGAATATCAACCAGACCTTTGTACATTTACCGCATCAATTCTTGTTAT